TTTGGAGGAAATTCCGTGTTTTTCCTAAAAATTTGGATGAAATTCTGTGTTTTTAGCAAAAATTTGGGGGAAATTCTGTGGTTTTAACTAAAATTTGGGGGAAATTCCATGGTTTTACCAAAAATTTTGGGGAAATTCCATGTTTTTTCCCAAAAACTTGTGGTTTTAGAAGACATTTGGGGAAAATTCCATGTTTTTCCCAAAAATTTGGAGGTAATCCTGTGGTTTTAGCAAAAATTTGGAGGAAATTCCGTGTTTTTCCTAAAAATTTGGATGAAATTCTGTGTTTTCAGCAAAAAATCTAAAATTCTGTGGTTTTGCCAAAAATTCTGGGGACATTTCATGTTTTTTCCAACAAATTGTGGTTTTACACAAAATTTAGGGGCAATGTCATGTTTTTCCCAAAAATTTAGGAGAGATTCTGTGTTTTTTAGCTAAATTTGGGGGAAATTCCATGTTTTTTCCCAAAAAATTGTGGTTTTATAAAAAATATAGGGGAAATTCTGTGGTTTTCCAAAAAATCTGAGGGAAATTCTGTGTTTTTAGCAAAAATGTGGGGGAAGGTGCAATCCCCTAAACCCCCTGAATTCCTCCAAACAAGACTGACCGGAAGTGCAGGTGCAAACCCCAAAATCCCCTGAATTTCCCCCAAAATTCCATGTAAAATCCCCAAAATGCTCTGAAATGCCCCCAAACAGCACCGACCGGAAGTCACTCCTCCTTGGTGCCGTGGTCGCAAAATTCCTGCACTGCGCGCGACCGACCCCAGAACGGCCGGATTGATCCCGAATTCACCCCGAATTGACCCAAAATGCCCGGAATTCACCCCAAAATGTGCCAAACTGACCGGAAGTGCAGTCTCTGGCACGGCCGATCCGCCCCCTCGGCCCTCACACACTCCTCTTTGGTGCCGTGGTTGCAGAATTCCTGCACCGCGCGCGACCGACCCCAGAACGGCCGGATTGATCCCGAATTCACCCAAAATCCCCAGAATTCACCCCAAATCACCCCAAACTGACCGGAAGTGCAGTCTCCGGCATGGCCGATCAGCCCCCTCGGCCCTGATACATTCTTCCTTTGTGCCGTGGTCGCAGAACTCCCGCACTGCGCGCGACCCCAGAACGGCCAGATTGATCCCGAATTCACCCTGAATTGACCCCAAAATCCCCGGATTTCACCCCAAAATCCCCAGAATTCACCCCAAACTGACCGGAAGTGCAGTCTCCGGCATGGCCGATCCGCCCCCTCGGCCCTGATGCACTCTTCCTTTGTGCCGTGGTCGCAGAATTCCTGCACTGCGCGCAACCAACCCCAGAACGTCCGGATTGATCCCGAATTCGCCCCAAATTGACCCCAAAATCCCCGGAATTCACCCCAAACTGACCGGAAGTGAAGTCGCCGACATGGCCGATCCGCCCCCTCGGCCCTGATGCACTCTTCCTTTGTGCCGTGGTCGCAGAATTCCTGCACTGCGCTCGACCGACCCCAGAACGGCCGGATTGATCCCGAATTCACCCCGAATTGACCCCAAAATCCCTGGAATTCACCCCAAAATCCCTGGAATTCACCCCAAATTGGCACTGACCGGAAGCGCAGTCTCTGGCACAGCCAATCCGGCCCCTCGGACCTCACGCACTCCTCTTTGGTGCCGTGGTCGCAGAATTCCTGTACTTCGCGCGACCGACCACAGAACAGCCAGATTGATCCCGAATTCACCCCAAATTCACCCCGAATTCCCCCAAAATCCCTGGAATTCACCCCAAAATGTGCCAAACTGACTGGAAGTGCAGTCTCCGGCACGGCCGATCCGCCCCCTCGGCCCTGATGCACTCTTCCTTTGTGCCGTGGTCGCAGAATTCCTGCACCGCGCGCAACCGACCCCAGAACGGCCGGATTGATCCTGAATTGACCCCGAATTCACCCCAAAATGCCCCGAATTCACCCCAAATCACCCCAAAATGAGACTGACCGGAAGTGAAGTCTCCGACATGGCCGATCCGCCCCCTCGGCCCTGATGCACTCTTCCTTTGTGCCGTGGTCGCAGAATTCCTGCACCTGCGCGCGGCCCCGCGAGCGGAATTTCTCCACGATCGACTGCTCCTTGGCCGTGGTGGTGTTGAGCAGCTCCAGGATCTCCTGACTCACCTGGG